CTAACAGCAGCTTTTTCTTCTTCTAAGACACTTATTTTGCTTCCTTCTTGAGTATGTGGGGTCAGGAGACAAGGATGCTGGCTCTCAGCTTTGAAAGGGAGGCAGATCCCTTCAGAAAAGGATTTGGTGGTATGCCTTCAGTCTGAGGATAAAACCTGTAGAGGAACTAGGGCTGGCTGGGAAACTGATGACGCCAGTGTAGGGGTTACAGCCCAGGCTGAGAACTGAGGACTATTGCTGGGATCCTGTTAACAAGGGATTTGGGGGCACTGGAGATGGATGGGTATATTCTTGACCAAGTTTCCTGGACTTACTGCTGGCTGTGAAGCCCAGGCATTCATGGCGTGGAGTTGCCTCAGAAGCTGTGAGAGGAAGTAGATGTAAGAAAAGAAAGGTAAGGGAACCCAGTGGGAGGCCCGTCTTGAGGTCTAGGCCGCTAAACAGGCCTCACTTTCTCCGGTTCAGAGTGGAGGGTACAGCCATCTCAGCTTTGCAGGCTGGAGTTGGGTTGAATCTTGGGAATCTGCTGGCCCAAGCTTGTCCCTTGGCTGCAGTTTCAAAGGGTTCAGCCGCTCCTGGTACCCCCCCAAGTTCAGCTAAGGCGAAGTTAAGGCCCAAGCTCCAATTCAGCATCTCCCTGCAGCCACCAGGCCCGGCCCGGCTCAGCCCGGTCACCCAGCCTCCTTCCTGCCCTCCTTGGTGATTTCTAGGCACCCTAGGGCGGTGGCGAGGAGTCCGCGGTCCTCAGGACCAGATACAGGGCCCACGGCTGTAGGTGTGAGCATGGGGTGGTCAGGATCCATACAGGTGTGCCCTCAGCACCCGAGGACACCGGCTCCCAAGTCCATCGCATGCAGGCGGGGCTGTAGGAGATGCTGGTGCGAGGAGGTTACCCGGCCACTGGCCAGGCCCAGCCACGGGGCGCCAGGGAGCGGGCCTAGCTGTCCAGTCTCAGTGGGAACAGGGCACGGCGACCCGACCGCCCGTCCCCTCTTCCCGCCTCACTAATCTAAACCATGCGGGGCTCCAGGCCCCTGCCTAGCTCAAGGACTGCGGGAAAGCCACCCAGTTACACTGCCGAGCCTGCGGCCCGATCGAGGCTTGGGGTCGGGGAGGACAGAGGAGTCCCAGGACCCTAGAATCCCCCTCTCCGGGGGGCGGTGGGCGAGAACTGATTGACAGCTGCGACGTCAGCACTGGGGGGGGGCGGCCCCGGAGGGAGGGAGGACCAGAAGGAGGGAGTAGAGGCCCCAAAGTGCAGCCTCGGAGATCAAGGGCCCGCTCCACACCCGGGATGTGCCGGGTCCCGAGGACGCAGCGGGCATCGGGACTGTAACCCAAAGCCCAGGCAGAACCTTCACGGTCCCACGCTTCTCCGACCTGAACTGGTTGTGGACCTGGGGCCGCAGACGCCTCCGCATGCAGCTGTGCAGTTAGGGTGAGTGTGGGCTCCAGCCCGTCGCGGGTGAGCTGGGCGCGGGGCTGGGGTCACCCAGCTCAAGGTTAAAAAGCAGCGTGGGGCGGGGGTGGAGGTGAGCTGAACAGGGGCAATTGGTGTAAGGACCACGGGTGGTCAAAGCCCCAGTAGGACCGCGACTGTGCCTCAGTAGTCAGATCAATGTTTCTGCTGGATACCCAGTGGCAGGGGCACAAACCCTTAGTCAGGAGTATGGGACTAAATGGGTCTAGGGACCAAAGAGTATTGTTGCTTAAGAGGCAGCTTTGTCAGGACAGGAGCGGTGGCCTTGAAATTTGAATCAGCAGAATAAGAAAGGCCAAAGGAGAGGGCTCAGGACTGACGGGGAAAACTGAAAATTCATGATGAAATGTAGGTGATCAGAACCTGGATGCCACGGACTCATCAGATTTAAATCAGTGACCGTTACATAAGTAACAATAGCTCAAAACTACCAGAATGTGAGAAATTATCAAAGAAACAGAGCGAATCGGTTAACTGATAGAATACTTAGGATTTTTTTGTTAGCACAACAGTCCTTTTCAAGATCGAACGAAAATAGTAATAACCACTTGAAAAGGACTGAGGACAAAGTAGCTTCAAAGACAGAGACAAAGGAGCCACCATTCTATTAGCATCCCTATCCATTGTCTATAAGAAATAATACTGATTTAGTAAATTGCTAAACTGAGGTACTGTAGGAAACACGCGAGGAAAAAGATGAACAACGCAAATATTAAGGAAAATTTCTTCAGTGTCAATGCGAGACTATCATACGATGCATTGTTAATATCATATCAATATTAAATATTAACCAGACTATTAACAAGTAATTGTAATACATGTAGGGACACAGTGATGAGGATTACTGGAGTAATGAGAATTTATGATATTATAATTTATTAATAGTCATAGCAATATAAATAATGTCTGAGTAGTAAGTATTATACTAACGTGATGAAAAATAATCAGGGCTACAGCAATATTACAAATGATGATAAAGTAGCAAGAAGCGGTGAAGTGATGAAAAATAATAGGCAAATTAAGATCCATACCGTTGCAAATAATGGCAGAGTCGTGAGCGAGATGTTACAGGGAGGTGATGAATAATAATGCCTAGAGTAACATGCACAATCCTAACAAAACAAATCATGGCAAGGTAACAAGAACTACTATAACAATGTAAAGAAAATTAACCTGAATACCGGGGACAATAATATTACAATTATGCCAAATCTTAGCCTGTGAAAATTTAAATAGAATGAAGAGCTAGAAGTGGGAACATGAATGGGATACCCAGCCCAAGTAAAATAATGATAGGTTAAAAGGATCAATTGCACATGTATCTAATGACCTGGATATTGGTAACAGTATTACTAATGTGCTTGGGGAGCGCTGAAGGGCCAAACAGTAACACCAAAGCAACAACGTCTTCGATGAGAATACAAAACTCCCACTTCACTCTTACAGCGTTAAAATCACGAATAATTCCAGAGCTAGGGATAAATATTCTTAATGTTGCTGAACTGATCAGAATTTCACCTCAATAACAACAAAACATTGAAAATTGTAAATTTTTTAAAAAAAATTCCCCCTAGTAAAAGGAAAAAAATTCACTAGTAAAAAATATGAAAAGAAAATGCTACCCCTGTCCCCCTAAAAATGAGGTAGCCCAAAGTAACCATTCCAGACGCAGAGGCAGTGCAACCCGCGGGTCAGCCCGCGGAGGGTCGACGTGAAGGGCCTTGGCGCCGAGCACGGGGAGAGAGCGGGACCCAGGATGCCAGCGCTGGGACCGAAAGGAGCGCCCAAAGGGGAAGGAAAAAGGGAATCTTGAGGTGGGGCGGCTCGAGCGGGGACTTAGCGGCGAAGGAAAACGATCCGCGACCCGATGGAGGAGAAGGGGAACGCCGCGGAACTCTGGCGGCGGGTGTAGAAGGGCACCCGGCAGCAGCGCAGGCAGGGAGAAGAGCCGCCGCAAGGCCGCTGCTTGGTTCTGGGTGACGAGGGACCTCCGTGGCGCCGCAGGCAGCCGCTGCTCTTGGCCCTGCGAGCCTCCGCACCTGGGGCGGGCGGGGCGGCTCATAGGTACCCATATTGGTTGGAACCCAAATAGAGTGGAAGGCAGCGCAGTAGCCAAGACCCTCCCGGAATCCTGGATTTTCGAAGTCCTACGGGGGAACCAGCACGTGGTTCAAGGCAGGGTGCAGGGGCAGGCCACGTCCAGGGAGCCTTGCTAGTTCTAGGCGGGCTGTGGCTGGGCTGTCAGCCTTATCTTTATGGGCTTTTCCCAGCCCTGGCTGGCCCTGGCCCCCTTTTATCTCCTCGGTTGCACTTGGCTTGTTTACTTTGGAGGCCCTGGGAGCCGAAGTCTCAGTCCCGGCGCAGAGGCTGGTGAGCTGGGTAGGTGAGGGCCTGTGCCTGCGGACGCATCGCCAGAGAGCTGGGCTAGAACTGAAAGGGTCTGAGAGGACAAAAGGGAGAGATTTCGCCAAGACACACAGCAAGCCCACTAAAGCTTGGCCAGATTCTGAGGGAAGAGTAGGGTGGTGGGAAGGGAAGCGTAGAACAGTATATGGCGGCACCCGGAAGGATGCAGGACAGGCTGGTCTTTGCAAGCAAGCTAGATTTTTCCTTTTGGCGTCTCCGAGACCACAACGTGCACTTGAGCAGACAGGTGAAGAGGCCCAGAGACTTCAGGGAAATTTAGCTGTGCCCCAAGGCAAGGTCAGACTGTGATTGTGAAATGGACCCGCCCTATTGGCCTAGTATTTAGCTAAGAGGTCTTTGAATCCTTTGGCCCAACCCAGATTACTTTTTGGAACCGAAGAGCGAGGGTGTGAGCCAGCTTGTGCGAATGTGAGGACAGTTTGAGGAGGCCGCTGGCAGAGTTCAGGGTCTGGCTCAGAGGGACCCCAAGACAGAGCGTGCTCCTTGGGTGAGGAGGATGCGGTGTGGGGTTTGGAAGCGGTGGGTTCAGGATGTCTTCACTTGGCGTGCCTGGACTGAGGTGCTGGATGAGGGCAGAAAGCTGAGCACTGGCCTCAAGCGCCCCAGCTCTGGGCCCTTCTCAGGTGTGGGGCTGCAGGAACCGAGGCCCTTACTTCAGGCCTAGCTCTCCTCTCCCACAAGTCCAGGTAGTGTCTTGAGTATCCTGGGCCAAAAGTGAGACCCTAGTTATTTCCGAGAGGTCAAGAAGACCCAGGCCTTGGGCTCCAGTTGAGCAAAAGGAAGGGACACGGGGTGTAGCTGAGACTGTGCGGGAAGGCGGTCCTTCCTCAAAACCTACTCATCACACAACCTCAAGTCTTGGGGGCAGGCAGACCTTCAACTGCACGTAGACCCTCCCAGGTCCAGAACCTGAAGGGAGGAGGCTAGGGTCCTGCCCTTCCGCATGCTCCCTCCCCCAGCTCAGAAGGGGGCGGGGTCCACGTGTGCCGGGGCACCCACCAGAAGCCCCAGGGGCTCAGCTCCACAGGGCCGCGGGGCCTCTGGCCAGTGTGGATCTGGCTGAGTAACTCGGCGTGTGCTGTGCCCGCAGGAGATGCTGCAGGATAAGGGCCTGTCGGAGAGCGAGGAGGCCTTCCGGGCCCCGGGCACAGCGCTCGGGGAGGCCAGCACCACCAACGCCACCAACGTCCCCGAGCCCGCGCTGGCCGCGCCGGGTCTTAGCGGAGCAACTCTTGGCAGCCCCCCGGGCCAGGGCGCCGACGTCGCCGCTGCCGCCGCGGAGCAGGTAGGGGCGTCGAGTTGTTTGTGCGGGTCCTTCGTGGGTCGGAGCTAGGATTCCTCGGGTCCGAGACTGTCAGCCCTTTGGTTCTCCGCTGGCCATGGCTCGTGTTCTCTGCTTTCGAGGGAGGGTTCTTCTCCACCCCGAACCCTCGGGGGCTGACTCTGATCTCCTAGAAGGGAGATCCCTGATTCAGGGAACGAACCCAAACCAATGTCCAGTTTCAAAAACCCCAAAAGGGTGAAAGCCAGGGAGCGGGACAGACAGGAAGGCCACAGAACTGTCACTGAGAAGGCTTAGAGCCGCTACCGTGCACATCACCACAACTCGCATCCTCCCGAGCCTTTCTCCGTGTCCCTCGGTTCGCCCACAAGCGGTGGCTAAAGCCAGCTATGGAGTGTCGTCTACATGGCATAGTCACCATGTGTCCTCTATACGGTCATCAGCAGGTGAAGCCCCAAGGGAGGGAGTTTGAATCTCTGATTCAAAGCTTCAAATTCTCCAGTGGTTCAAAATAATATTGTGAGAAACGAAATCTCGAGGAGTAGGCTCAAGGGCTGGCTGTTCTGCACGCTTCGTCGGTCTGCGCTCTACTCTATGCAGGCTCCGCGTGGAGCCCAGCTGTGGGCCAGCCAGGCAGACCAGTTCTCCTCCCTCCCATCCCCAGACCATCGAGAACATCAAGGTGGGGCTGCACGAGAAGGAGCTGTGGAAGAAGTTCCACGAAGCGGGCACCGAGATGATCATCACCAAGGCCGGCAGGTCAGTCGGGGAGAGTGACGTGGGGAGAGCGGCAGGTGGGAGCCAGGAAAATGTGTCTGCCAGGAAGGCCCGTAGGGAGAGGACTCTGCAGTCCTCGGGGTTCCTGGTCTTGGGCCAGTGGGAAATTTATCAGCCACTGAGGTCCCAGCTCCACGTTCTACAGCAGCCGGCCGGACCAGCAGCTTTTGCACCTTCCTAGAACCTGAGGGGGTCGGGAGGGACAGCAGTATGCTGATGACGTGCAAACAAGCGCAGCCACACCCGAAGGCCACCTGCAGGGATGCTTGGCCCTCGGGGGAATTGCTCTGCCTACTAACCTCCCGGTGAGGGTCGGGCTGAGGTTGTGTTTCTTAATCGCCCAAACTTTTTGGGAGCAGCATGAACCCCAAGTTACTTATCCTAGGGCAACACCCTCCTCAGCCTAGGAGAAGGCACCACTGGGTCCTTGCGCTGTCGGGGTGCCTCCCTAGGTCTCGGTGGCTGCCAGCGAAGGGTGATTTATAAAGTGGAAACATCTTTAAAATGCACTGGTGTCTGTGGGAGATGAGGGAGGAGAGGGTGAGAAGAGAAAGACACGGAGCAGCGTGTGTGTGTGTGTGTGTGTGTGTGTGTGTGTGTGTGTGTTCTTGAGAGATCACAAGCCTGTGAATGTGTGTGAATCAGACAACGGCTGTGGTGGGCTAGCAGGCACAGGACAGGAGTGGTCCAACGGAGCAGTTAGCAAGTGAAGGGGACCGCGCGATAGTTTAGGAAGCTCTTGTGGAGACTCTGCCCTTCTGCATCCATACCCTTGGTTTTGGTCCATGGGAGCAAATTAGGGGAGAAAATATCCATTTTTCTGGTGATGAGCCTGGGACTTGTTTGGAGAAATGAGATGGTAAGCCATCAAGGGCCAGGGATGTGGAGTCAGACTATAGTGGGAGGAGTGTTCTCTTGCCAGCTCAACTGTTTCCATCTGTGCAACCTTCAGACAAGGGCCACACCATTCGGGTCTCTCTCTACCTGCTTCCCCTTTACCCACAAGAGAAAAAAAAGGTCCTGCTTCATTCATTCAGCTGTCCATAAAGCCCATGACAGAGTTTCGTTTCAAAAGAAATAAAAATCAGTGGGGTCTGTATGCAGTGCATTGATACTGGGGTCCTTCCTTCGGCTCCCAAACGCAGGCATTGTGAAGCTTTTTTTTTTTTTAATTTTGTGATGATAGAAACATGAACACTTGGTCACCCTCTTGCCTCAGAAAGATGGCATAGTCACTCAGGGCTTCTTAGGGAAGGAGGAAGGTTGGTTTTAGGGCCCTGGGTTTTCTGCATTTGGGAGATGGAAAAAGAGGACACTTCAATCTTCTTGGCAGAGGGTGGCCTGGCCGAATGGTTATGGAGAATAGAGACACAGGCTTTACCTCTTCCCAGCTGGGTGAACTTGGGCTAGAAACTATTGTCCTGTGGCCCCCTGGTGCCAGGTGTTTGAAAGTGATAAATGTAAGTATAGCTGCTGTCCTTCCTAACTGTGGGACCCAAACCAGGGGCTTCTGTAAAAGGTAAAGCAAACTGTCAGGTGCCTTACAGGTGTGGAGGAAGGGGGATTGTTCTCTTGTGCCTGCTAACATGGAGGACGGAAAACAGAAAGAACTCTCCAGACTTTATATTTGCAGATTTTAGCCTCTTGGAAATAGATGATGGGTATGTTATCTGGATAGATGAGTTTCTGGTTTCCAGTGAGCTTTTCTACCTGTGTGGGTCCTCACCCCTCCACCCTCCCAACAGAAGTCCTCAAATCCACACTGCAGAGCCTACCCTCGGAGTCAGAAGCCTGTGCCCTGTCCTAGTGATCCTACCTAGGGGTGGGCCTCGGGGATGGCATTGATAGTTTTAAAATGACCGTGAGGATTCTGGTCACTTACGTGGTCCTCACGTTCTTTTCTCTGGTGGAAAGTTACACCAAATCTAATCGGAAAAACTTATTAGCCTCATCCACTTCCGCTTCAGATCTCAGAGCCCCATTTCTTCCTGCAAACCTTCCTACTATCTTTTTAGGGGTGTGTGTGTGTGTGCTAGGATCCACCCCATCTTGCACATGCTGAGTGTGCTGCTCAGGCACTGAACTACACCTCCAGAACTCCACTGTCTCCAGAGACCTCCTTCATTGGCTTGCTCGCTGTGTCCAGGCAGTCTCTGGGTGCAGCCTGTGTTTGGGCTTGTGGCTCTTCCACACTCCACCCAGTGTTTTCCCAGACTACCAGCACCCTTCATGGGGCTTGTTCATTTCTCAGCAGATGGCCGGTTTGTAGATTCTAAGATGGAAAAACCTCCTCCATGTCTCTTTCCTTTTTTTCACTGATGCTCTGTAAAGTGTGGGATTGTTTGCTCCTGGAGACAGACTCTGGCTGCTTAGGGGCATGATATCTGCTGTCTGGCCGGGGAAGGATGGGGCCCTGGAGAAGGGAGCCAGAGTCTTCCTTCTCAAGACCATTTGAGTTCACGGTTTCACAAGTCTCCCACCCATTGGGTCCTTGAAAATCTGAAGGCCAAAGGAAAAAAAGAGAGAGAGAGAGAACCAGCCTCATTGGATAGTGCCTTTGACTAAAATGCTCAAGAACCCCGGGGTGCCAGGTGTCACGTGAGAGTCAGACCCTTTCTAGTCTGTCTCAATTCCTCTCAAAGCAGAGCGCTCACGTTGGTAATGGCAGAGATTTCTCTCTTGGCTTCAGATCCCTTCCAAGCTTGATACATGTGAGAAACTGCATTTTTTCCCCTCCCAAACACAGATAAAAGTGAACTCCACAAAAAATTAAACATAACCCTTCCAAAAATGAACATTTCCTACCCATCTGACTGCCCTTCTCCTAGGTCATGGTTTTGCCACCAGATAAATCTCCACTATCAGTCTTCCCAGCCTGTTGAGTTCAATGTTGCTTGTGTTAGTGACAGTGAATTTGCGTTTGAAAAATGAACTACCGATGAGAACTCCTGTTGAACCTGTATTGTTTGTTATTCTGAGGCAAAGATTTGGCCTGGCTTAATCCTGGGCTTCAAAGCCAATTGCCCTTGCTCTGTATACAGAGCGTCAGAACCCAGTGGCGTGGGTGATAAGAGAAGTAAGGGTTGAAGACACTGGGAAAGTGGGTTGGGGAGAGAGCGCTTTGATCTCGTCTTAAAGTATTTTCTGAAAGCAAAAGTCTATCAGAAGGAAGTGCCTTCCAAAAAAAAAAAAAAAATTCCGAGCAAAGCAACTGACCTTCCCAAACAGCACCCATTCCACACACCCTCCTTAGACCCTCCCCTCAGGGAAATTATGTCTTTAAAAATGCTTTGGGTATTTTAGAAAGTCTCTCTCTCTCTCTCTCTCTCTCTCTCTCTCTCTCTCTCTCTCAGAAATCATTTGGTTCCAAAAGCTCTGGCCAGAATATAGACTGCTCTCACCCCCCCCCCCCCCACACCTTTGGTTTTTGCCCGGCCCCCCCCTTCCCAACAAGACCCCACGATTTTAAGGATAAAATGATGGGCGGGCTTTCCGGTGATCCCCGCCTTTCCCCTGCAGCTCGTTTTGCATTTTTGCTTCCCTTCAAGGTTCTAAGATGAGAACCCTGTGTGTGTGTGTGTGTGTGTGTGTGTGTGTGTGTGTGTGTAAGCACATGCCATTTAAATGTAGGTTTCTTTGAGTTGAATATTTCTGCAAGAGAATGCCGGCCCATCTGAAGTTTATAGCCCTATAGAATTCAAAACAAAACAACAATGAACCCAGGGTGTAACCACCATCCAGATAAGGAGAACCTCCCCAGTCCCCTAGCCTTCTTCATGAGTGCCCTCCGGGTCACCACCGCTGCCACCCTGAAAACCACTTTCCACACTTCTCGCCCGCTCTGGCGGTTTTAATGCCTGCATTTAAGGGAAGGCACGTGCAACTGCTTCAGGCCTCCACCCACAAGGAAGTCGGGGAGCGTTCAGCTAGGTAGGGAGAGTCTGGTGAGGTTCCAGTATCTTGATTTCCACTCTGTCCCGGGATGTGGGACTGAACACTAATTTGGCGCCTTGCGTTTGACAACCTGAAGATCCAGGAGCCAGCCATCCCTGCGGCGTCCTCTCCCGGCGGGGAGTTTGCATTTATAGATCTGTGGCCAAAAGCACAACGCCCCCCAGCCTCGGGCCTGCAACAGAGGAAGCTTATCCTAGCAGCTCATTCTAAAGCCATTTCCGAGTAAGAAGCAGATAAAGGCTCGAGTCCGGTACCCTTTCAGAGCCGGCTGCTGATCAGAGGGGAGGTCCCGGCTTTCATCTGCTCCCGGCGGGCGGCCAGGCGGCCAGCGTGTTTATTCCCCTGGCGGAGCCGCTTCCGCGCGTGCTGGCCGCCGCAGCTGTCTGGGGACAGCGCGGGAGCGGGGAGAGAGAAGGCGCGGGGGCACGCGCGCGAAGGGTACAGAAGGGTGCCGTGTGGGGCTCAGCAACAGCTAAACCTAGTGACATCCTCTTTTCCTGCACCTCTCTTCCCAGCCCTGAGCGACCCTCCTCCCACACACACTGTAGGGTGTTATTTTCAGGTACGTTTAATGTCGTCAATCAGAAATAACTTATAGCTCACAGGATCATTTCGTGTGTTTCGTTAGCGAGGAGGAATTTTGTCAGTAGAGCCCTAAGGAAGTCACAGCTTCCAAATTCAGTCTAGCCTCTTTGTGGAGGCCTGCTCACCTGATGAACGGCCCTGCAATTTGGGCTTTTGGGTTCCAGCAATAACCTTTATCCAAATCAGGGGCAGATGTGAGGTTGGGGGTGATACTCCTCGCCTTTCCATGCAGCTGCCCTTCCACCCTGGGCAGACAACTGGATACTGGGCATGGTGTGGCTGGCAGCACTTGGGGCCCCCACAATGTGGTCTGCAGGCCCTTGAAGCATGCCCTCAGCAAGCTTGGCTTAGACCTGGCCATCTGTTTCTAAGAGGACAGCCCATCCTGCTTCAGCCGACCCACACCAGATATCCTGGCTGCCCTCTCAGCTTGTGAAGGCTGATGCTCTCAGAAGAGGGGACTTGGTGATACAAGAGGCAGGGGCCAGGAGGTACTCTCTTTCCCCATGCCATTACCCTAAGACCTCCCCCAAAGTGGTCTCTGAGAGGGCGCAGACCCTGTAAGCCTTGGGAGCAGAGTACAGAAGTCTATGAGTGTCTGCCTGGCCCTCTGAGCTGCTGAGGCAGGGTGCAACATGGGAAGGTCACGGTCCCTCAGTTCCCTTTCGTTCCAGTCTACACACACTGCTGTAGTGGCAGCCAGGCATTTCTTCCTGGCCCTTGTATGTGGGTCCTGGCCCTCGAAGGGGGCTATGGCTGTCCTCTGCTGTTGCTACCTGCAGCGATTGACTACCTGGGCCCAACAGCCACGGCTGCCCCATTTTGTCGCTCTTTCTGTAGCAGTTATGAAACGGTGGCCTAGAGGGGACAGGGTTCTTGGCCTTCCCCCAGGAAAGGCGAGGCAAGGCAGCGGCTGCCCTCCTCTTTCAGCTCTAGACCCACCAAGAGTGGGGCAGGGCCAGGAAACAGAGTGGTACCGACTCCAGCTGTGCCCCTATGCCTGGCTGAGGGCTGGTTTGAAGGAGGAGACTGGATTGGGTTCCTGAGTTTTCTGGCTCCCCCACCCCACATCCTTGGAGAGGGGGTGGATTTGAAAATGCTTTCAATTGACATCTGAGACAAATTCTTCCACACGGTTTATAAGTCCCTAGACTTGCAGTAAGAACTGCCACCCCCCCCTTTCCAGGCACGCATACATGCACACATGCGCACTTGACCCACAAGCTCATGCACATGCGCCTGGGCCGCCATAGCCGCCCATTCTCTCTGCAGTGTGTGTCCTAGTCTTTCCTGTGACAGGAGAGGTGCATGGGCTGGGCTAGGCAGGTCCTGCTGGAGAACCAACTCTTCCAGAACCTTTCTGCTCAGGGTTCCAGTTTGCTGTGGGGTCTGCCAGCTGTGGAGACCTTTATTCTTTCCGGAAGTCCTACCCTATCAAGGAAAGCTAGTACTGATGACAAAATGGAGGTGGGTGTGTCCAATCTGTTTGAGGTTTTCAGGGCAGCGACTTGTGAGGTTCTCTGGCCTAGTGAATGGCTTGCTGGTGTTGTTTGGATTCTCAGCACCACGGTGGGTTGAGGCTCCCACATCTGTGTCTTCTGTCAGGTTTGGATCCTGCTTTTCTCCTGGGGAACCCCTTCGGGATTTGGTTTTTGGTTTGTTTTTGTTTTTCCGAGACAGGGTTTCTCTGTGTAGCCCTGGCTGTCCTGGTACTGTAGACCAGGCTGGCCTCAGAGATTCACCTGCCTCTGCCTTGGGAGTGCTGGGGTTAAAGGTGTGCACCACCACCGCCCTGCCCTGCGGATTTTTCCTTTTCTTTTCTCTTTCTTTCTCTCTCTTTTATTTTATTTTTTGAGAAGGTTTTTTGGTATACAGTTCAGATTGGGCTCTAACCAGAAGTCCTCCTGCCTCAGCCTCCCTGAGCACTGGTTTGAAATAGAGTATGTGACCTGTATATAGTGACAGTTGTCTGTCTGACCCAGTGTGTGCTAGGCAAATGGTCTATACCTGAGTTCCATCTCCAGCCCTCTTTGTGGGGAGTCAGCTGGGGAGGGACTGAAGGCTCCTGTGCCGGGGAGGGGTGGGGAGGGGTTCTGTCTGCCCTGCTCTGGTTCAACAGGAGCAGAGGGCTCTGTGCTCCTGCAGGTTTGCCCGTGCTGAGTGCCTTAGGGAGCTCTTTTCAGTTAGCATCCTGGACAGCTTCATCATGGGCTACAGGAACTGACTCACTTTTGTTGGGTCCATTTTCAGAGACCTAGGCCATACCCCTGGCTTGTGAGAGGTGGAACAGAGCAGGGGCTCGAGGAGAAGGTAGTAATGTTATCCTCATTTGAGAAGTAGAGAAACTGAGGCACAGGAGATCTGGGCAGGTGGCCTGAGGCTTAGCTGGTTAGAAGTGGGCCCGACTGTGATCAATGACAGGCTGATTTCTGCTTCCATGTTTTGGTCCATGAGGCTTCTCCACTGACTTCTTGGATTCCTGGTCAGGGTGCTTGCTATGTATGGCCTCAGTGAAGCACGTGCCACGAGAAAGACCCCTGCAGCTCACACAGGAAGAACCAGGCTTAGCAGGGTTTTCCCCAAGTTCTCTTTCCTATGAGAAAGGCATCATTGCCTATGGGAGCCGCTGACAGTGGCGTCCAGGGCAGCTGCACTAGCGCCCTATGAACTTCAGCTGATTGTAAGCTGGCTAAGGACTGGGGACAACTTAAGGCAGCCAGAATGCTACTTAAGTGCCCCTCACTGTCCCAAACAGGGTCTCTATGCTGCCTGCTGCGATTCATAGCTACCGGGTCCCAATCATGGGGGATTCCCGCGGAGGGAGATTTGAACAAGGTGTACGCTGCCTTTCTGGGTGTAGATTGACAGCTGGTGGGGGGTCTGGTGTAGTTTGGACAGTTCTGTCCTGTGGGACAGTAAGGACAAGGGAGAAGTAGGTCATGACCTTTGGCTAAAAGGGCTCTGCACCCGCTCTTACCTCTACTCTGCTGTTTCTCCCACTGTGCCGCCTCAACCTTGACCCCCTCAGGAGGATGTTCCCCAGCTACAAGGTGAAAGTCACGGGCATGAACCCCAAGACCAAGTACATCCTGCTCATCGACATCGTCCCGGCAGATGACCATCGCTATAAGTTCTGTGACAACAAGTGGTAAGAGGCCCAGGGCCTGTCTCTCCTGGCGCGGGCGCTCCTTCTTCCAGCCGGTCTTTACTGCCCAGAGTCATTTTGCTGGACCGCTACCTGCACCCTGGCAGGGACTGAGGCAGGTGTGTAGGCTTTGCTGGCCCTTAACGGGCCCTAGAACATCTGACTGGGACTCTCTGGGGTCCATGGTGGTGAAAGTCATAGAAACAAAAGCTAGATTAGAACTCAGAACAGGCTCTGGATGTGAAAGTTGTTTAGGTCCTTTGAGATGTTCCAGCTGACACATTTACAACATTGGAAAAGTAAAAAAAAACATAGAAGGGGGTGCAGGGATTGGAGGGGGGGTTGGTAGCTCAGGGGTTAAAGCACTGCCAGTAAATAAATAAAACTTATAAATAAAACACAGGGAAGTGCCCGACTCTTCCTGAAGTGTCTTTATAAATAGCCCTAGTCTTTGAAATCAATGCTACCACCTTCCTTCATCTCCAAGTGAAGGGAGGAGCTGGGAAGCACTGACTCCTCCTCTCTGCTCCCCTCCCCTCCCCCTTGCCTCTGCACTGGGCCTTGGTTTGCTCTCAGGGGGAATGGGGAGTTTGGCTTCACCAGACCCCAGGGAACTCAACTGCCTGCCGCTGTCTGCTTTGTCTGCAGGATGGTCGCTGGGAAGGCTGAGCCAGCCATGCCGGGGAGGCTTTATGTCCACCCAGACTCTCCTGCCACAGGGGCCCACTGGATGCGGCAGCTGGTCTCTTTCCAGAAGCTGAAGCTGACCAACAACCACCTGGACCCCTTTGGCCATGTAAGGACCGGAGTGGTCTGGTCTTGGGGGAGAGCAGCCGTGGTGGTGGTGGTGGTGGTCGTGGTCGTGGTGGTCGTAGTCTTAAAGGTTTGAGAGCAGGAGAGACTCCGCTTTTTATCAGGCCTCTGACCCTGCAGATCAGCTGTGCATCCCCTTCCTCCTCACCAGCCGGTGACTCTGGGCAAGGCTCTCTTTTTGAGTCTCTGTTTCCGTGTATAGAGAATGGGGCTGACCGTATGTGCCTTCCATGGTAGTGAGGCCTAGGTGAGGGAATATGCAGGAAGTTCCTTAACAGAGAAGAGCCAAGTGAACGGTGAGTATGGCAGTGGAGATGATGAGGAAGGTGGTAGTGATGGAAGATGGTGCTGATGCTGGCAGCTGTGATGATTGACAGTGATGATGGCCACACTGGTGATGCTGACCATGGTGGGGGTGGTGATGACCGTGACGGGGGGGCCCAAAACCTATTCCTGCTAGACTCTACAGCTGTGTCCCTCTGAAGGTTCCGTCCTTCTTACCTCTGGTAAGGGAGAGTTATCTCTGGCTCCTTGCTCAGCCGCTGCCTGGGGTCTGGTTCATAGGTCAGGACCGTGGTGATGGTAGTAGGAGCGGCTGTGGTGACTGCCTGCACACATCCTAATCCCAGTTTCTTAGGCTCGTTCTTTCCCCATCTGGCCCTGGCAGGCCCACAGAAGGGAAGTCTTTATGAGAAAATCTTTAGCTCAAATGTGTTGCAAACAGAAGCCTGGCAGCCAGTATCAGGGCATCAGATCCTGTCTCCGTGAATGCCTGTGATTCTCTGGTAGTGTGGTGCAGGGGTGTGGGGGAACCTCAGGCGGTGGAGGCCGCTAGGTGCTGCACAGCTGAACACAAAGGTCATGTGGGACAAGGGCTCAGGTCTCTTGCACAGCTCAGTCTCTGGGGAGACTGAGTCAGGGTCAGCACAAATCAGGGTCCTGAGAAGAAAAGTTCTTCCTGGAGAATGCCGGAAGTGCTTCATCCTGATTGACAGGAAGCTCCTGGTTTCAGTTTCAGAATCTGATTCAGCTTTCATTTTGGTCATTGGTGATGTAAGTACACATTTAGAGTACAGGATGCAGCAAACTAGCCTTCTCTGTTTTACAAGTCTCTATCCTGGGTTTCCAGTGCAGATCCCAGTGGGGAGGGCCAGCCAAGCCCCAACTCCCAGAGCAAATCCTGACCAGGTCTCTGCCCATGTGACTGCTGCTGAACTTTGTCTGCTTGCTTGGACTGTGGTATCACAAGATGAGGGAGGGCCTCTGATGTCAGTGGGGACCGTAGAGACAGGACCCTCTAACTAACCCTGCAGGCTCATGGCAGCACTAGCAGGTTGAGTGAGTCGGGAGCTTGACAGGTGAAAGCATCCTGAGATTAAGGGTTTGGATGGGATCTTGGGTACACCTGCTTGTTACCATGGCTCCCAGCTCCCAGCTTCAGGGTGCTTCCTAAGACACCCCTACTTCCCTGGCCCTGCAGAAGGTGAGAGGGGAAGGTACTCAGGCTTGGAAAGCCGGCTCTTTAGAAGGAGAAAATACTGTGCTTTCTTAGCTCATCCCCCATCCTTGGTGGCTCCTCATGGTTTTTTGTTTTGTTTTGTTTTTTTGAGACAGGATTTCTCTGTGTTGCCCTGGCTGTCCTAGTACTTGCTGTGTAGACCAGTTTGGCCTTGAGCTCACAGAGATCTGGCTGCTTCTACCTCCCAAGTGCTGGGATTAACGGCGTGTGCCACCAGAGACAGGTGGAGCTCTGTGAGTTTGAGGCCAGCCTGGTCTACAGAGCAAGTTCCAAAGCTACAGAGAAACCCTGTCTCATCTCGCCCCCCCCCCAAAAAAAAAACAGGACACCTACAAGGTCATTTGCTGCTATTTGGGGCTGGAGAGATGGTTCAGCGGTTAAGTGCACTGGCTGTTTGTTCTTCCCGAGGACCTGGGTTCAATTCCCAGCACCCACATGGCAGTTTACAACTGCCTGTAACTCTACCTCCATGGGATTTGACACCCTCACACAGACATACATACAGACAAAATACCAGTGCACATAAAGTAGAAATAAATAAATCATTTAAGGGGGGGGGGGGGCGTGTGCTACCACTGTTCCATCTGATGCTTTTCTTAATTTTTTGAGGACCAGGAAAGGGGTTTGGGCTCAGCAGCTCGTCTTTCAGGGCAGATGGACTCTAGAACAGGAACTTCTCTAGTCCACTTGGCTAGATGCTCCCAAAGAGTCAGGGTTGATTTCTAAGTGGGAAACCTATGGGATTTAAAAGCTTCTTTTATATATATATATGTCTTTGTATATTTCTCTATATCTATATATCTCTCTATCTTTATATATGTATATGTATATGTATATATATATAAATATAAATATAAAATGTTTGTGGGTGTTTTGTGTGCATGCCTGGTTCCAGAGGAGGTCAGAAAAGAGCATTAGATCATCTGGATTTTAGATTCTTGTAAGCTGCTATGTGGGTGCTGGGATTGAACCCAGGTTTTCTGGAAGAACATCAACTGCTGCAGCTGAGCCATGTCCAGCCTCACCATGTGGGGCTTTGCAGCAAACACTCACAAGGAAATTTCTAGTAAAAACAGTTGGAGAAGGAGGCTCAGGAGGGCAGGCAGGTACAGCGTATGACCTGGATTTTGTTAAGAGAGTGGCTGGCAGCAGGAGCAGAAAGGATCATGGGAGTAAAGTAGGCCAGCCACTGCTGCAGCATGGCGCACCTTCAGCTCCACTTCTGTCATTGTGCTGCTACAGATCTGACTGTCCATCTCTTGCTGCTTCCCTCCTCCCCCACCCTTCCAGGAGGCCCTGGCTAGGTGGCCCCGTGATGGGAATAAGGTGCGTCCCCTCTTTCCCTCTTCATCTTTTAAGAGTCTAGCAATACTTCTTGGGCTTCAGGAAGCCAAGTAGGATTGAAGTAGATCCGTCGGGACTGACACACAGGTCTTGCTTTTCTGCAAATCTTTAGGCGGGAAGGCGATGTGTGCAGTGGGTTGTGTACAGTTCTGTCTGGGTGCAGGGACATCATCTGTGCCAGGCCTTTCTGCTTTCAGCTGGCGGAGGAGAACGGGCCATCTCACAGGGTGACTCTGATTGGGAAGGACTGAGATAACCCTCATCAAAGTTTCTTTCTTCTCTTTGTCTGTCTTCCTTCCTTTCCTCCCTCCCTCCCTAGACAGGGTTTCTCTGTGTAGACTAGGTGGACCCCAAACTCAGGGATTTGTCTGAATTTCTTAACAAGACATAGATACACTGGAAGTGGAGGGGAGCATCCATAATGTCTTTTCCCCCTTCCCAACACCCAGTGACATACTGAGGTGTGATTCTATCAAAGTTCACTCTGAGGAACAGTGGGTTTATTGGTTTACTCACAGAGCGTAGATATGGGGTTACTCACAAGAGTGTGGGTGCTTCCCCCCACAAAAGGCTACACTGGAAAATCTTTACCCAATATGAATAATGGTTTCCCCATTCACTGCATAGATGGAGCCTCTTCCCCCTGACCTCCCCCTTGAGGCCACATGCAGTTAGGGCAGAGGTGAATACAGCTCTGGCTGGGGGATTAGCTGCACACTCTGGTGAGGGTCCCATGACCCAGCAGTCAACAAGTTCAACTGGGATCTTCTGCAAGTGGGCATGGCCGAGCTCATGAAGATGGTGGCAGATTGGCTCAGAGGACAGTCCTGTACCACACCATGCCTGCCTGACGTCCTGCTGCTCTCTGGGCATGGGTGATTTTCCCATCCCATTTACCTTCCTCCATTCCTTAGCCTTGGTTCTGAGTTCAAATAACCATTCCTCTGGGGAGGAGGCACAGGCTGTGTTCTCAGAGCATGCGCACCTTCTCATCCCTGTAATTACAAAGCTGTGTCTGAGCACTTGTTGGTCTCTCAACAGTTGATTTTTGAATCAGAAACACAGTCACATGGATTTAAAAATAAGTCACCAAGGAGACTGGGGAGATGGCTTAGTTGGTCCCCATAAGCCTAAGATAGATCCGCAGCATTGATGTCAAAAAGCCCGCACAGTGGCATGTGTCTGTCAACCCCAGTGCTGTGGGTGTGGACAGGTGGACCCCACTGCCTAGTTATCAGAATTAATGAACTCTGGATTCTGTCAGAGAGCCTAAGAAAGTAGGGGTGGAGAGCAACCCAGGATCATCCAGCTGGATGCTGACCTCTGGCCTCCACATGCACACATGTGCATAAACACAGCACAACACATACAAAATTCATCATGGAGTAAATACAAGTGTTTTTGCAGTGATATGATTAACTGTTGTTACTACTTTCGGCATTGTTTGGCACATACAGGCAGAATAGGCTAAGATACAATGCCTTGTGCACCTTGCTCTGTGAACAATGTATTCTGGAGATGCTTCCATTCACAGAGAGCTTCCTCTGCCTCTGGTGCATCTGCATTCTACTTTCCTGTTGTTCCGCTAACTACTGTGCTTTGTTGCCAGATGCTTCAGTTTTTTGTTTTTTGTTTGTTTTTGAGGTGTGGTAGCCCAGGCTAGCCTTGAACTTGTGATCTGTCTGCCTTCATTTCCTGAGTACTAGGATTATAGGTGTTAACACCATCCTAGGCTATTTTTCACTTCTTTGTTTTCTGAGACAGGGTCTCCCAGTGTAGCCTTGACTGGCTTAGAACTTGCTAAGTAAACCAGGCTGGCCTCACACTCAAAGAGATCTGCTTGCCTCTGCCTCTCAAGGATGAGATTAAAGGCATGTACTGCCACACCTGGCTACTTTTCATTCTTTTGATTATGCTTGAGTGGGTGTCAGATATGTGTGTGTAATAAATGCCCTGTTCACAGTTGGGAGTAAGAGTTTTTAAGATAGTCATCTCCTTGTTGTCAGGGGAATCCACAAATGTGTGTGCCCATTGTGGCCTTCCTGCAGGGTGGGAGGGCAGACTTTCTTGATTATTTTTTTCCTTTTTTGTGTACATGAATGTGGTACATGCCTACACAT